AGCTAAAAACCCATACAACAGCAGTATAAAACATTTTACAGAGTTTGACCCAGTAAATATTGGTAGAAATCCTGTTGTCAGTATGGTCACTGGCAAAGTGACTGGCTTGTGATGGGCTCACAGTCACAGAGAGGCTGGTCTGTGTTTAGATTTATCTAAGACTAATATGACAATTATGACTCAGTGTTGACATGTTCACTGATCGTCCCACAAGTGTATATATGTAATTCTTATTTTTTGAAATAGAAATAATTCATTCATAGATTCATAACTCAATTGAAATTGCAGTAAATATGGCATAACTTGTCACAATGACCATTTTATTTGAAACAAGTCATTAGGGAATTTGCTATTCATGCATTTTTTGTATCAAAACTGAATTTCATTGTCCAGGCTCATGTACAGAGATACAAAACACGAATCAAATCATCATGTACATGTATCTCAACATGTATAATGTTGTCAAATCAAATCCTGTCCAAGATACCACCTTTTCAAAAAAACAAGAGGATGCCAGTCGGCCATCTGTGATCGAATATTGGAACAAACTGACATGGACATGTATTCCAATATGTATGACGTATGTACCAAATATGAATGAAATTTGTCCATAAGCCTTGGAGATACAGTAATATGGACAAAAAGCAAGATGGCTGCCAGTCAGCCATCTTTGATCTGATTATTAAACAAACTGACATGGACATGAATTCTAATATGTATGATATATGTGCCAAATATGATTGAAAACAGACCATAAGCCTTGGGGATATAGTAGTATGGTGAATATTCAAGATGGCCGCCAGTCACCCATCTTTGATGTGATTGTAAAACAAATTGTCATGGACATGTAATCTGTAATGTACAATGTATGTACCAAATTTGAACTAAAAAAGCATGCATAAGATACTACATTTTCAAAAAACTAAATGATCAGCCATCTTGGATTGAATCAGTAAACCACTTCATGTGCATATGTCCCAGGTAAAGTACGAGGAACATGCAAATATGACTCCAGACAGAACCGAACAGACAGACAGACGAAAGGATAGATGGAGACCGAATTATAACCCCGTTTCGAACTTCGGACTAATTAACAAGGTAGATGACAACTTTATCAGTGAAGTTCTAAATATCACAACACTGAAGTATTGTGCTGACCTACCCCGTGAACCAATGATGCATCTGATGCCAATCTGGTTGTCAAGACGCCTGTACTATTTTTGGGCTCATCAAACCAAGATATTTCCTAAAATATAAACAAAGAAAGGATCTGCTGTTATAGCTAGAATCATATGTAATATTAGCACAATATCTCTGCATGTTGGTCACTGAGTGGGCATTAGTGTGATATTACTATAGACCTCTGCATGAGTGGTGTACACATGATATTTTGGTCATAGAGATGATACATAATACATGTTGTGTGTGACTGATACATGACTATGTTGTCAGTGATGTGATACATGACCATGTTGTCAGTGATGTGATACATGACCATGTTGTCAGTGAT